TTAGTAAAGAAGATGTGCTAGGAATTCTGAGGAAGTTGAAGATAGATACGTCTCCCGGGCCTGATGAGACTTATCCAAGGATTCTATGGGAAGCGAGGGACGAGATCGCAGGGCCTTTGGCGATGATCTTTTCGTCTTCACTGTCCACGGGTATAGTGCCAGAAGATTGGAAAGAGGCAAACGTCATTCCCTTGTTCAATAAAGGGAACAGGGATAACCCCGGAAATTACAGGCCAGTTAGTCTTGCGTCAGTGGTGGGCAAATTATTGGAAAGGGCTCTGAGGGACAGGACTTATGATAGCTTGGAAAGGCACAGTTTGATTCGTGATAGCATGGATTTGTGAGGGGTAGATCATGCCTCACAAACCTTATTGAATTCTTTGTAGAGGTGACCAAACACGTGGATGAAGGTGGAGCAGTGGATGTGGTATACGTGGATTTAAGTAAGCCGTTTGATAAGGTTCCCCATGGTAGGCTCATGCAGGAGGTAAGGAGGCATGGGATAGAGGGAAATGTGGCAGATTGGATTCAGAATTGGCTGACCCTTAGAAGACAAAGGGTGGTAGTGGACGGAAAATATTCAACATGGTGCTCAGTTACAAGTGGTGTACCACAAGGATCTGTTCTGGGTCCCCTTCTATTTGTGATTTTTGTAAATGATTTGGATGAAGGAGTGGAAGGGTGGATTAGTAAGTTCGCAGACGATACGAAGGTGGGTCGCGTTGTGGACAGTGCGGAGGGCTGTTCTAGGTTACGAAGGAACATTGATAGGATACAGAGCTGGGCTGAGAAGTGGCTGATGGGGTTTAACCCTGAAAAGTGTGAGGTGATTCATTTTGGAAGGACAAACTTGAAAGCAGAATACAGGGTTAACGGAAAGATTCTTGGCAGTGTGGAGGAGCAGAGGGATCTTGGGGTTCATGTTCACAGTTCCCTGAGAGCTGCCACCCAGGTGGATAGAGTTGTTAAGAAGGCGTATGGTATGTTAGCTTTCATTAATAGAGGGATTGAGTTCAAGAGCCATGAAGTTATGCTCCAGCTATACAAAAGCCTGGTTCGACCACATCTGGAGTATTGTGTCCAGTTCTGGTCACCTCATTACAGGAAAGATGTGGAAGCGTTGGAAAAGGTGCAGAGGAGATTTACCAGGATGTTGCCTGGAATGGAGGGAAGGTCTTATGAGGAAGGGTTGAGAGAGCTAGGGCTTTTCTCTTTACAACGACGAAGGATGAGAGGTGTACAAAATGATCAGAGGTATGGTTAGAGTTGACAGCCAGAGACTTTTTCCTAGGGTGGAGGTAGCTTTTACGAGGGGACATAGTTTTAAAGTGAAAGGAGGTAGATATCGGGGAGAAGTCAGAGGTAGATTCTTTACTCAGTGGTAGGGGCGTGGAATGCATTGCTGGAGAGGGTAGTGGAGTCGGCCTCATTAGGGGCATTTAAGCGGCTATTAGAATGGCATATGGATGATAGTACAAGGTAGCGGTTGAGGTTAGATAGACCTGAGGTTTTGGGTAAAAGTTCGGCACAACATCGTGAGCCGAAGGGCCTGTACTGTGCTGTGCTGTACTGTTCTATGTTCTATGTTCTATCCGTGTACCTGTCCAAATGACTTTTAAATGTTTTCATTGTACCTGCCTCAACCCAGTCCTCTGGCAGCTCACTTCATACGTGCATTATCCTCTCTGTGGAAAAAAATATTGCCCCTCAGGTCCCTTTTAAATCTTTCCCCTGCCAGGTCAAAAAATTGCATGTATATATTTATTTATATATTTTGGATTTTGTGACCTTTCCAAGTATTGTACCCAGTCTTATACAGTAACAGATCTGTTTCCACCAGTCCTGTACCCTGGTATTACACAGTGGCAGACCTGTCCCTTCTAGTACTATGCCCGTGATGTTATACAGTGACATACCAGCCTTCTCCAGCACTGCACCCCAGTGTTACAATAATCGATCTATCCCAACAGTACTATGCTGCAAAGTTAGACAATAACAGATCAGCCCCTACCAGCACTGTAACCCAATGTTGTCAAATCATCGAACTGTCTATTAGTACTGTACCCCAGTGTTGTATAATAACAGACCAGTTTCCAGCAGTACTATAGCCCATTGTTACACTGAGACAGACATGTCTTTACCAGTATTGTACTCCAGTGTTATATAGTGACAGATCTGATTTTCAGGTACTATAAAGCACTGTAGACAGTAACAGACTGTATCCACGTGCCATGTATCCCAGTGTTCAAAAGGACAGAACTCTACCCCCTGGTTCAGTGCTGTGTTCTTATACATTTCAGATCTGTCCCCTCTAGTACTGCATCCCAGTGTTACACAGTTAACAGACCAGTCCCAACACATTCTGCATTCCAAGTTTTTTAGTGATGGATCTTTCTCCACCAGTACTTTACTCTGGTATTAGTTTTGTCCTGTCTGCTACAGTACTGCAATCATGCATCTGACTGCTACCATCTTTGTGTTGATTAGATTATGTTCCAAATTCTCACCTCCAGAAATTGCTGAAATATTGTTTTACTTAGAGTTAAGCAGTGAATTACAATCTTCCTGTTTCTTTGTGTAATTTATGACAAAACTTTGTCAAATGCTCTCCTGTTGTGAACTGGGAAAGGCAGATGGATGGCTTCACTCTGGTTCAGCTGAGCAAAGGCACGGTCAAGGAGCTCAGCCTGAAGCAATGTGGTTCCTTTCTAATGCAGCTGTTTGTTTTGTAATGCTGCTGAAGCAGCTTGGCACGTTCCATTTTTTGAAAGGTGCGACATAAATATCTGTTACCGTTCTGTTAGAAACAGCGTTATTTCTCTGGGTTGATAAAATAACAGATGTAAGCAGAGTGGCAGCAATCACGGTGCCAAATCTTCCTTTCTTCATGGAGTATCAGGGGAAGCCAAATATGGTAATAGTGGGCTGTCCAGTCTCAATTTCTGAGGGTAACTGATTAGTATCGGTGGGTGGAGTGGCATAATATATCATGCGGAAGCTCATTAAAACTGGACCTTTTGAGGCTGCACCAACCACCGGAATGAAGAGGAGACCTGGGAAAGCCCATCCCTGGGAGTTGAGAATGGGTGCTGTTGAGTGTATTTTGTGCGTAAATGTACCAGCTTCACACATATCTAAATAAATACAGTATTTTGCTGCTCGGATGTGGAGTTGCAATTGTGCACATGCCTGAATAATCAAGCAGAGTCAGCATGGCTGTATGAAAAGGAAATTGCCTGACTAATTTATTAGAATTTTGAGGAAGTCTCAACCAGTGGATAGATGTGTTGTATTTGGACTTTCAGAAGGTGTTCTGCAACATACCTCACAAAAGGTTAAGTGATAAAAGCCCATGCTGTTGGAGGTAGGAAATCGACATGAATGGAAAATTAGCTCAGGGTCAGGAAACAGGAGTCCTTCATCATGTTGGTGACCCATGACCAGTGAGGTTCCACAGGAATCAATGCTGGAACTAGAATTGTTTATACTATACATTATTGACTTGGAGGAAGGAAATGAAAGTACTGTAGCCGAATTTGCAGACGGCATAAAAGTAGGTGGAAAGGTAAGTTGAGAGGGATACAAACAGTTTACAGAGAGTGGGCAAAAAGTTAAAAATGGAGTATAATGTGGGGGAAATACAAAGTTGTTCATTTTGGAAGGGAGAACAAAAGAAAAGAATGTTATTTAAATACAGAAAAACTGCAGAAAGCTGCAACACATGGAGACTTGGGGGTGCTTGTGCACAAAACACAGGAGGCTAACACAGATGCAGCAGGTAATTAGGAAAGCTAATGGAATGTTGGCACTTATTTCAAGGGGGTTGGAGTATAAGATTAGAGAAGTTTTGCTGCAACTGTACAAAGTGGTGGTGAGACCACATCCTAAAGTACTGTGAGCAATTTTGGTCCCCTTATTTAAGGAAAGATATCATTTCGTTGGAGACAGTTCAGAGGAGCTTCACTGAGATAATCCCTGGTATGGAGGGATTGTCTTACAAGCAAAGGCTAAACAGGTTGGGACTCTACTCATTGGAGTTTAGAAGAATGAGAGGTGATCTTATTGAAGCAAATAGGTTTCTTTAGGGAGTTGACAGTGTAAATACTGAGAATTTGATCCCCCTCTTGGGATTGTCTCGGACCTGAGGGCATAGCCTCAGAATAAAGGGGTGCTAATTTAAGACTGAGATGAAGAATTTCTTCTCTGAAGGTTGAGAATCTTTGGAACTCCTTGCTGCAGAGAGCCGTGTGGGCGAAGTTCTTGTGTATTTTTACAGCTGAGATAGAATTTTGATCAGTAGGGGAATCAAGGGTTATAGAAAAAGGAAAGGAAAGTGGATATGAGGAATGTCGGATCAGCCATGATCTTAATGGCAGAGCAGGCTCAAGAAGCCAAACAGCCTACTCCTGGTCTTATGGTCTAAAATAACAGCAGCTTATTATTCGGGCTTGTATTCAGTTGTGAAATTGAATTGACCTTTGGACCTACTCCTTTACTGTCTGTGCAATAGGTGTAGAGAAGAACTGTACTGCATTTGCTCGGTTTGATTTTTGTGATTCTTGCATTGATTTGATATTGTGGAATTCACGGTGGGCAGTCATAGAATCATATGTCACAAACAGCATGGATTTCACATCATAAAATTATAACCATGGCATCGGTTTTTTTGGACATGAGATATTATTAAATCTATTGTCATCTCGACACCCGTGTTCTGTCTCTTTGTTGAACCCACTATCATTCTTTTATTTCTTGCACTATTATCTGGTTTGTCATTTAACATTTCCTGCTTTTGTTCCTCCTTCACTTCGTTGAATTTGTATTAAATCTATTGCATATTGATTTTGTCCAGTTAGGAAAGGTACTTTGGAAATTCATTCCACAGATGTATTTCCAGTCTTTTCTGTTTTTATATTGGAGTAACTTGTTCTCCAAACCCCAAGTTTCTCATCTTCATTCAAACTGTCTTTGGTTCTGACTTTCACTTATCCCTTCCATAGGGCCAAGATGGGCATCATGGAACCTGGGAGTGTTTGTGTGCATTCGCTGTGCAGGTATTCACAGAAAGCTTGGAGTCCATATCTCCAAGGTGAAATCGGTCAATCTGGATCAGTGGACACCAGAACAGATACAGGTACCACACACTTTGTTCAAGGCAGGAAGCTGCATGGGCTGAGGGGACAGGGCAGGGTGAGGTGTGGGACATGTGAAGGGGCAAGGCAGGGAGGAAAGTGCCAAAGGGTGCTCAGGGAGGTACCAGGTGAGAGGGGAGGCAGTGTTGGATGCCTGGGATCTGTTGGGTGCAGTGAAGGCAGCTGCTGTCATGCGACAATGGGCTTCACTCAGTAATCACAAACAGTCTGATTTGGAAAATTGTAGTTTCAAGCTTACATCCAGACCGGGTGTTGAGTTCTATGTTGAGGGCATGGTGTGCTATTGTGGCTACTGTTTCTTTGACAGGCTGTGATCAGACTGAAAAAGATCCTATGGAATTGAAAAAGAGGAAAGATCTCCCAATACAAACATCACTGATCCAAGCGATTTGATCATTGAAATTGTGCTGCTCTTCTATATCACTTAGTCATTCGAGTATAAGTGAGAGCTGAAATATTGTGACAACTTGTATCTTCTGGAAGAATCTGAAACAAGCTGTCCCTTCTGGTTGGTTTGGTTTATTGACCGTGATTGCTCATGGGGTTCAGTTTAAAAGCAATTATGAAAGTGGCCAAGTTACCACTGACAATTGAACACATGAAATAACCATTTTGCTCTCTTTCTCTGACCGTACACAACTCCAAACTATTCCTCCAACCACCGCACCAAATGAGAAACCATTTCAGCTCAAACACACTGTGACAGTGAACATTTTTGTTGTGTCATATCACTGATTTGATTCTAAGACTGACTCACTTTATCAATCTGAATTCCATTGAGCCTGAATATCTTGTTCAGCTTCTATTTAAGCAGAATAGCAAGAATTTAAGACTAAAGGTAATCCACGACCAGCCCGAGCCTCTCCACAGCTGAAGTGATGTGCGTGGTATGATCATTCACTGCAGGAAACAGGCAAAAACTGGTGTTTACAAAAATGTAAGGAAAGCTGTTGAGCGCAGTGGAAAAAGAAACTGGAATTGCCGGGTGCTTACTTATCCTGCTGCAGGGAGGGGAACGTTCCTGACTCTGCTTGCTGCTGGGTATGGCACAGCATTCACTCTGTTTTCTGATCAAGTAAGCTTTTATTAATCTATCTGCTGATTGATCTGTTCACAAGGGAATAGGAAGAGATTTGGAAACATATATGAGTGTATTTTTTAAAAATGCATTTGGTTACAGGCTGTTTTCTGTTCTGAAGAAGGATCACTGGACTCAAAATGTTAACTATGCTTTCTCTCCTCAGATACTGCCAGACCCGAGTTTCTCCAGCAATTTCTGTTATTGTTTGATTTAAGTAATGCTCAGTGGGTAGTTCTGTGTTGTTGATGCAGAGGCTACAGGCGTGACAGAAGTAGAAGTAAGCGAGGAGGGAGAGTTGCCCTTTTGATATGGGAGCACATAATAGTGCTTAGAGAGGATGTTCTTAAGGGGTCATCAAATGAGGCCATATGGTTAGAACTTAGAAACAAGAAGGGGTTAGTCACCCCGGGACTGTATTATAGACCCCGAAATAACCAGTAGGTACTAGAGGAGCAGATGTGTAGAGAGCTTGCAAATAACTACAGGAATAATAGAGTAGTATTAGTTGGAGATTTTAATTTCCCTGTATTGACTGGGCCACCCAGAATGTAAAAGGCCCGGACGGGGTGGAATTTGTCAAATGTATCCAAGCAAGTTTCCTAAATTAGTATGTCTAGGGCCCTACTCAGGAGTGTGCAACCTTGGACCTCCTCTTAGGAAACAAGGTCGGCAAGTGACTGAAGTGTCAGTCGGAGAGCACTTTGGGTCCAGTGACCATAATTCTCTTAGTTTTAAATTAGTTATGGAAAAAGACAGGTCAGGTCTATGGTTTAAGGTACTAAACTGGAGCAGGGCCAATTTTGGGGCCATTAGGCAGGATCTAACAGTGATCGACTGGGTGAGTCTGTTTGAGGGAAAAGGGATGACTGGCAAATGGAAGGGTTTTAAAACTGTGAGATCAAGAATCCAGGGACAGTATGTTAGGGTGAAGGGAAAAGCTGGCAGGTTTAGGGATCCCTGGCTGACGAGGGATATTGAGGCTCTGGTCAGGAAAAAGAAGTAGGTATACATTGGATTTAAACTATTGGGCTCAAGTGAATCCCTAGATGACTTTAAAAAGTGTAGGGGCACACTTAAGAGGGAAATCAGAAGAGCAAAAAGAGGGTACGAGATAGATCTGGCAGATAAGAGAATAAAAGGGTCAATACAGTGTGGAGCTGGAGGAACATAGCAGGTCAGGCAGCATCCGAGGAGCAGGAGAGTCGATGTTTTGGATCGGGACACTTCATCCCCAAAAACTTTGACCCTCCTGCACCTCTAATACTGCCTGACCTGCTGTGTTCCTGCAGCTCCATACTGTATTGACTCTGACTCCAGCATCTGCAGTTCTTGCTATCTCCAAGAGTAAAAGGGTGGCTAGGGAGAGAATAGGTCCCCTTAAAGATCAGCATGGCCATCTCTGTGGAGCCACAGGAGAAGAGGGAAATTTTTAATGACTATTTCTCCTCTGTGTTTACTGAGGAGAAAATCATGGATGCCAAGGAAATAGGGGTAACAAGTGGGGATGTTTTGGACTGTGTACATATTACCAGAGAGGTGTCTGCAGCCTTAGATCTCATTAAGGTGGATAAATCCCCTGGGCCTGATCAAGTCCTTCCTCGGACATTGTAGGAGGCTAGGGAAGAAATTGCAGAGGCTCTTGCAGAGATTTTTGCTTCCACTTTAGCCACTGGTGAAGTTCTGAAGACTGGAAGGTGGCTAACATTATTCCATTGTTTAAAAAAGGTAGCAAAGAAAAGCCAGGGAACGACAGGGCAGTTGGCCTGAAGTCAGTGGTAGACAAGTTATTGGAGAGGATACTGAGGGACAGGATCAACCAACATTTGGATAGTCAAGGTCTGATTAGGGATAGTCAGCATGGATTTGTACATGGGAAGTCATGTCTGACAAATCTTTTGGAGTTTTTTGAAGAGGATAGATGAGGGTAGGGCAATGGACATTGTCTGTATGGACTTTAGTAAGGCCTTTGACAAGGTCCCACTTGGCAGGCTAGTCATGAAGGTTAGGTCGCATGGGATCCAGGGAGAGCTAGCTAATTGGATTAAAAATTGTCTTGATGATAGGAAGCAGAAGGTGATGGTTGAAGGTTGTTTCTCGGACTGGAGGCTTGTGAGTAGTGGAGTGCCACAGGGGTTGGTGCTTTGTTATTTGTTATTTGCATAAATGATCTGGATGTGAATGTACAAGTCATGATTAGTAAGTTTGTGGATGATACAAGACTAGGAGGTATCTTGATACCAAGGAAGGTTATCAAAAATTACAGCAGGATCTTGATCAGATGGGGAAGTGGGCTGAGAATTGGCAAATGCAATTCAATACAGATAAGTGTTAGGTGTTGCAGTTTGGAAAGTCAAACCAAGGTAGGACTTATCAGTAAATGGTAAGGTCCTGAGGAGTGTTGTGGAACAGAGAGACCTAGTAGTTGAGTACATAATTTGTTTAAAGCAGCATCACAGGTAGACAAGGTGGTGAAGAAGGCATTTGGCATGCTGGCCTTCATCGGTCAAGGCATTGATTATATGAGTTGGGACGTTATGTTGCAGTTGTATAAATCGTTGGTGGGGCCGCACTTGGAGTATTGTGTACAGTTTTGCTCACCCTGTTACAGGAAAGATAGTTAAACTGGAAAGTGCGCAAAGAAGATTTACGAGGATGTTGCCAGAACTAGTAGGCCTGAGTTATAGGGGGAGGTTGGCCAGGATAGGACTTTATTCCTTGGAATGTAGGAGAATGAGGGGTGACCTTATTGAGGTGTATAAAATAGTGAGGGGTATAGATAGGATGAATGCATATAGTCTTTTTACCAGGGAAGGGGAATTGAAAACCAGAAGGCATAGGTTTAAGGTGAGAGGGGATAGATTTAAGAAGGACCTGAGAGGCAACTTCTTCACTTAAAGAGTGATACATATATGGAATAGGCTGCCAGACAAAGTGGTTGAGGCAGGTCCAATAGCACCATTTAAAAAACACTCAGATAGGTACAGAGATGGAAAGGGTTTAGAGAGATATGGACCAAATGTGGGCAGTTGGAACTCGTTGAGTGGGCAGCATGGACCAGTCTGGGCCAAAGGGCCTATTTCCATACTGTATTACTCTTATGACTGTACTGTATGATGCAACTGATGTAATGGTCCAATAACTGGATTCTTGTATTTTTGTCTACAACAGTGCATTCGAGAGATGGGAAACTCGAAAGCCAAGATATTATATGAAGCCCACCTCCCTGCTAACTTCAAGCGGCCACAAATGGATCAGTATCCTTTACAAAGCTCATGCCAGGATTGAGTCAGTGCAAGGAATTATGTTCCACAGGCACAAGTTCAGAGACACTGTAGGACACTGCGGTACAAAGGGATTTAGATGTCATAGAATTGTACAGCACGGAAACAGACCCTTTGGTCCCACTCGTCTGCACTGAATGGACGTCCCAATCTGACCTAGTCCCATTTGCCAGCATTTGGCCTATATCCATCTAAACTCTTCTGATTTATATGCCCATCTAAACTCTTCTGATTTATATGCCCATCTAGATGCCTTTTAAATGTTGTAATTGTACCCGCCTCCTCCACTTCCTCTGGTAGTTCATTCAATATACGCACCCACTCCTGCATGAAAAAGTTATACCTTAGGTCCTTTTTAAATCTATTCCTTCTCACCTTAAACCTATGCTGTCTAGTTTTGGACTCCCCCACCCTGGGAAAAAGACCTTGGCTATTTACCCTATCCATGCCCCTCTCGATTTTACAAACCTCTATAAGGTCACCCCTCAGCCTCCGATGCTCCAGGGAAAACCTCTCCCTATAAATGAAACCCTCCAGTCCCAGCAATATCCTTGTAAATCTTCTCTGCGCCCTCTCAAGTTTAACAACATCCTGCCTAAACAAGGGCCACCAGAATTGAATGCAGTTTTCTAGAAGTAGTCTCAATAATGTCCTGCACAGCCGCAACATGACATCCCAACACCTACACTCGATGTGAATGAAGCACTAAAAGTTAGCATTACAGTCAGAAATTAGGAAGGTAAATAGAATGTTGGGCTTTTTGGCAAGGGGATGGAGTATAAAGGTAAGGAATTCTTACTACACCTCTATAGAGCATTGTTGAAACTGCACCTGGAATTGTTCACTACATTTAACTACTTTAAATATCTATATTGGAGGGAATTCAGAGAAGGTTCACCAGACTTACTCCTGGGATGAAGATGATTGAATTATGAGGAATGATTGAGCAAGTTGGGCTTAAACCCTTCAAAGTTTAGATGAATGAGAGATTACTTTACTGGAATATCTAATATTCTGAAAGGATTAATAGAGTAGATGATAGAATGATGTTTCCTCTTGGAAGGGAATCTAGAACTAGGGACATAATTTTGAAATAAGATGTGAATTTAAAACCGAAATGGGAAGGGATTTCTTTTCTGAGAGCTGTTAAATTGTGTAATTCTCTTCTGCAGTGAACAAATAAGGCTGGTTAATTGAATAAATGGAGAGATTTTTGATCGACATGGGAATTGAGGGTTATTGGGGGCAGGCAGGAAAGTAGGTTAAAGATGCAACTAAATTAGCCAGGACCTTAATGAGTGGCAGAGCAGACTGGAGGGGCCAAATACCCTAATGCTGCTGCTGTTTTTTTGCTTCTGGGTACCTCCCAAGACTCCTGTAGCTAACAATTACTTAATTTTTGTAGATATGTATTTTGATCTTCACTGTGAACAAATTATGAAAAGGAACTTTTTTTCTTTTAAATCCCCCTTTTGAGACGCATACAATTGATTTATTTTGATCCAAGTCTAGTAGTTTTTCTAAGGGACATGCAGTATGTGCAGGTGAATGGATAAGTCCCTATCCCTCGGGCATCTGCAAATATGATGTGATTTTCTGACATGCCTGATGGACGCAAGGAAGAGGTGAGATTGCCTCACCTGCCCTCATTCAAGTAACAATTTTCTCTCTTCAGACACCACTGTGTACTTCCCATGAGCATAATAAAAACATAAGAAATAGGAACAGGAGTAGGCCATCTGGTCTATCGAGCCTGCTCCACCATTCAGTAAGATCATGGCTGATCTTTTCATGGACTCTGCTCCACTTATCCGCCAGCTCACCATAACCCTTAATTCCTTGACTGTTCAAAAATATAACATTGCCTTTAAAACATTCAATGAGGTAGCGTCAACTGCTTCACCTGAGCAGGGAATTCCACAGATTCAAAACCCTTTGGGTGCAGAAATTCCTCATTCCTAAATCTGCTCTTATTTTGAGGCCATGCCGCCCGGTTCTAGTTTCATCCACCAGTGGAGACAACCTCCAAGCTTCTATCTTATCTGTTCGCTTCATAATTTTATATGTTTCTATAAGATCCTTCCTCATTCTTTTAAATTCCAATGAGTATAGACCCATTTGCTCAATCTCTCCTCATAAGCAAACACACTCAATTCTGGAATCAACCTAGTGAACCTCCTAATTAGAATAAAAAAGAATCAACACGGACCATAGTCTGACCTAGGACCTGGACGGTTTTGGTTGACATCATGCCTGATCAGTCTGAAGGCTTCTGCAACCGATATGCTAACTCAGATAGAGATGGACATTATTACCGATGTGATAATAGATGCTGTTGGTTTTGGGGATGGGTATTGATCAGTGGCTTAGTTCGGGGTACCCTGTCACACACTTGTGCTGGATTATTTTCAGTACCCTTTTTCACTTGCCTTAGGGTATGCAGCCATGGTCCAAACTCACTACAAGCGGAACAGAGGGATCCGATGGTTATCAGAAAGAGAGGAGTTCTGATTGAGGTTTTCAAAATTATGAGCGGCCTGGACAGAATAGATAGGGAAAAGCTGTTCCTGCTCGTAAAAGCAATGACATTAATGCCACACAAATGTCAGGCAATGACCATCTCCAATAAGAGTCAATCTAACTACGGCCCCTTAATATTCAATGATGTTACCATCGCTGAATCCCCTATTATCAACACCTGGGGACTACAATCAACCAGAAACTCAAATGGACTTGCTACGTAAACACTGACTACAAGAGCAGGTCATGGGCTAGGAATACTGCAGTGAATAACTCACCACCTGACCCCCCAGAGCCTGTCCACCATGTACAAATCACAAGTCAGGAGTGTGATAGAATACTCCCCACTTGCCTGAATGAGTGCAGCTCCAACACTTAAGAAGCTCGACACCATCCAGGACAAAGCCGTCCACTTGATGGGCACCACATCCACAGACATCCACTCCCTCAACCACTGACACTCAATAGCAGCAGTGTGTACCATCTACAAAATGCACTGCAGAAATTCACCAAACATCCTTTAGACAGCACCTTCCAAAACCATAACAACTTCTTTCTGGAAGGACAAGGGCAGCAGGTTCATGGGAACACGATCAGCTTCAAGTTCCCCTCCAAGCCACTCACTATCCAGATTTGGAAATATATCGCCATTCCTTCGCTGTTGCTGGCTCAAAATCCTGGAATTCCCTCCCTTAGAGCATTCTAGATGTACCTACAGTACGTGGACTGCAGTGATTCAAGAAGCCCTCTCTCTGGGCTTTATTCAGTCATGAATGCCTCCATCACAACCTCTCTGTAAGCCTCAATGCAGCACAAAATAAATCGAGCTATGACTCTCCACTCCCAGTTTGCTAAAGGTCGTGGAGGTGCCCCCCTACTAATGAGAACTCCCAGGAGTGAGGAACTTCAGTTATGAGGATAGATTGAAGAAATTCTGACATTTTTCCTCGGTGAGAAGTAGACCGAAGAGATCTGATTGAGGTTTTCGAATTCATGAATGGCCTGGACAGAGTTGACAGGGAGAAGTTGTTCCCTATCAAAAGAAAAAGATAAGGAAAAATGAGTTAGAGGGCTTAGATTTAAGGTGATGTGCAAATGTAGGAAGGGTAATGTGAGAAAAACATTTTTCTCAGAGTGGTTAGCATGTGGAATGCACTGCCTGGAAATGTGGTGGAGGCAGATTCAACTGAGGCATGCAAGGGAGCACTGGATGGTTGTTTGGGTAGAAGTGCTGTGTAGAGATTTATGGAAAGGCAGGAGTTTGGCTCTAGGCAGTAGAACTGGTGCAGCCATAGTGGGCTGAATGATCTGCTCACTATAATGATTGTGAGGCTGTGAATGCAGAAAGGGAAGCAGTGAAACTTCTGACTAATTCTGACTGTGCTTAGTTCTTATTGTAATGTTCAATGTTATTTAATAAAGACATAAAGAAATAGGTGCAAGAGTGAGACATTCAGCCCTTCAAGCTTCTCCTGTCATTCTACAAGACCATGGCCAATCTGCCTGAGGCCTCTTCTGTGCCATAACCTCATTGTGGTGAACTCCTTGTTTTGAAGAATCTATCTGCCGCCTCCTTAGTAATTTCTGGTGAATGAGTGTAAATGAGTGTCATAAGTGGTAAGGAGGTAGGTGGCAGGTAGTATGTTGAGGGTGCAGGGTAGGTCAAGGCAAATTGAGTGAGGGGAGCTCGGTTAGTATGGAGTACGAGGTAAAGTTTCTGCTCAGATTAGGGTGACAAAGAGGACGTGCCAGAGGTTCAGGTCCGGAGAAGTGGTTAGAGGCAAGGGATAGGTTGTGGTACCTTAGAGCCCTACAGCATGGAAACAGACTCTTCGGTTCAACTCGTACATGCCAACCAGATATACTAAACTGACTAGGCCCATTTGCCTGTGTTTGGTTCATATCTCTCTAAACTTCTATTCATGCACCTGTTCAAATGACTTTTAAATGGGAGGCTTGATGGGGGTGCTGGTACTCAGTTGGATATGGGAGGTTGGTGGTTAGTTTAATAACTATCCAGCAATTAGAACAGGTTTTAACTCCTCCAAAGTTTTCTGGATAACTATTAAGCTAAGTACATCAGAACTTTCTAAAGTCTTTGACTCTAACTCCAAGTTGGGGGCGTCTTAAGTTTCCAGACATTTAATAATCACCATTGGAAGTTTCAGCTTTGGGAGTCAGCTGTTTCAGGATGCTCCCAGGACCAAGACACGCAACTCATGTCTATACTGCTGCAGCAACCATTTTCCTATTTTATTCTCTAGAGTATTGGTGAAATTCACTTTTTTTTTAATTATACCTTAACTTGTTGCTCAGAGCAGTAGAGAGCTTCATTAGAGACAAATATGAAAAGAAGAAATATTTTGATAAAAGTATTAACATTGCTGCATTCAGGGTGAGTAATTCTTCCCTTGGCACCTAAGGTGGAAATTCTGCAAAGCATATTCAGAGTGCAAGGTTGGGTGGAGTTGCAAGCTCATTAATGGAATTCTGAGGCCGTATGCTGGGATAACAGTCTTTCCACCATCACCCGGAGAACTCTCAAATTTCCTCTATTTCATTGAAACTAGTGAAGGCTTTTGGATTTGGAATAAAGATGTGCATGTCCTGTTCTTGAATGTTGGCACTTTCCCCTTTCAGAGTCATTGTCTAATTAATGCTGTATATGTATCCGTATCTGATTCATACTTTTGTGGAGCAGTTTGTTCTTTATTCTGCTACCAGTGTTTACTGCCTGCAATTTCTTTGAAACCATCTCTGGTTCATTGCTCACAGAAACTCTAAAGACTCCATAGTTCATGTTGTGCAGATGAATCTATCTGCATTGTTGCTAAGTTTAGGGCTGTGTTGGTTTTCTTAGAATTGTTTTAAAAAAAAAAGTGCTGTGGAAAGTTGCAGAACTGTGACGTTACATTCAGTCAGATGGAGGTTACATGGTTGTGTGTGACGGGGCAGGGGTGTGGGTTAGATGGAAAGTTGGGAGATGTACTCTCCATGTAAGTGTCTAATTCATGTACAATAAATAGTTTTTCCCTTACCATCATTAAGTAAATTTGTCATCCTCCTACACCAATAGGTAAATCACACTGTGTAAGTAACTATTTCCAGTTATAAATAGGTTAACAGATTGGGCGGACATGAAGCAGGTGGAATTTAATACAGACAGTAGGCAGTATTGAATTCTGGTCACGGAACAAAGGCAGGCAATATCGATGTGCCAACGGAATGCTAAAGAGTGTGTAGAGGGCATAGGCTTCTGGGTGTGGACTAGTCATTGAATGTGGAAGGGCGTATTGAGAGTGACTAGCAAATAATATGGGGTGTTGGGCTTTATTAATGGATGCATTAAGTACAGAATTTATGCTGACCTTTATAAAACTCTGGTTAGACCCCATCTCAAGAATTTCGTCCCGTTCTGGTCACCACACTTTCAGGATGTGAGGGTCCTCAAGAAAGTGAAAAGAAGATTTACCAGAATGGTTTCAAGGTTGAGGGTTTTGCTACAGGGTTAAGTTGGAGAAGTTGGGGCTGTTTTCTTTGGAGTAAAAGAGATTGAGGTGTACGAGATTATTACAGGTTTGGCTAAGGTGGACAAAAATCATTTCCATTTTCTGATGATTCAAAGACTAGCAGAGATGGATTTAAGGTTTTAGGCAAGAGATGCAGGAGGAATGTGAGGACACAGCAAGTGGTAAAGATCTAGAACTGACTGCAATAAAGCTGATGGAAGCAAAGGTGACCAATAATTTCAAAAAACAATCGATATTTATTTGAAGCAAATCAACTTACAAGGGTACAGGGATCGAATGGACAATGGGATTGACTGGAATGCTTTACTGAAAGCTAGCATAGACTGGATAGGTCAAACATCTCCATTTGCATCAATGACTCTCTGACAGCTGAGTCCCTTGGATATATTTGCTGATTTGTGTTCTTGATAGACATGATATTCTAGTTTCATGCCATAAGAACCATTTGTTGTCTTGTGTTTGGCCCCTGCTTCATTGTATAGGATGTGCAAACAGTTCCAAATGGTCATTCTTCTTTTCTGGCTTTTTTAGCTCTAAAATGGGCTTCTGATTCCTCCTCAGAAAAAAAGACAGCTTTGTCCAATGCCTTGAAAGCAGTGGAGGCATTCAGATGCATTTCTGATGTTTGGGAAACCAGGAAGTTGCAATAATCCAAAGTTGTTTGGATTCCACGAGATTCACAAAGGTCTGATTGAAGGGCATATCTATTTGGGTGCAACCTGCCCAGAGACTTCATATTTAATGGTATTTTAGTTTGGATGCAGTTTTCTGATCCCTCCGCCAGTCTGCTTAAACTTTCAGCTTTTCTCTTCCAGAAAGAAAATAATAAATGGAAGAAAAAGGATGAAGCAAAGGAGACCAAAACTGCACCAGTTATCTTTGAAAAAGTGAAAGTGGTGAGTGTATGTTTTGTCTGTACCCTTACTCAAACTGAGGGGAATGAATGAGGATGATCAAACTGCATCAAGTTGTTTTATTCTCTGAATGGAAAATATGCCCCCACTGAAAGGATCGTGCAATCTGGTGCAGAACCATTTTGGAAGCCCACTGAATAGTTTGAGCAAAATCTGCGAATCTTTGGGCGAGAAAGTCTAAAATGTAACCTCCCATTGGAAACATAATGGTAAGACCAGGAGTAAGAAATAGAACATATTGTAAAAGGGAGCATTTCAGAATAGATCTGTCTCTTGGAAGTGTTTATAACAAACCTCTCTGGTGCAATAAATTAACCCAGCCTGATGACAACTGCTGGAAATAATTGGAGCAAATGTGCAGCTCCCAGTCAAAGTGTTGATTCCCCCTGCTCTAGAGCTATTTATTTGGCATAAAATTAGAAAGTTCTGGCAGTATTTGTAGCTAGAGACACAATTAATATTTTAAGTTAGTGGCCTTCTGTAAGAACAAGTTATTTAGCCTATGCTGTGTGTCTGTCAAGGTTCAAGACCGGCTTCCCTAGTGGAGCAGTTCAGATGTTGTAGTTTTAAGCTTGCCTCTGGTGACTTGTAATGAGCTGCTTTGAATTCTATGTTTTCCCGATAAAGCCACCAAAAAAGGACGAACAGCAGCAAGTGAAAACAAGCCCTTCAACACCTGCTGGCCCAGTGATTGACCTGCTGGGACTAGGTAAGAACAAATATCCTTAGGCTCTCAATGCTCAGTCTCTTTATGATCGTACAGCAGCCATTACCTATGCCATTCATCTTCATGTTCTTCACTGTACTGTTGCTTAACTTGCTAATATTACATTCATGTGGCATTCTGATCCAAATACAGTGTCAGGGAAATTCTTTGCAGCTCTTTAAATCCTAAGATCAGAACTTATTTCCTTCTCTGGGGACCTTGAAGCTCAGAAGTGTTCATTGATGTTATGTAGTCTGAGAGTTCTGAGGAGAGGCTGGGATGGTGATGAACTTTTGATGAATGGAGTATTCATGTATCAGACAAAGTGCCAAGTCTTAATACAAGGTCCATTCTGAAGCTTCTTTTTGTAACTTGAGTTTCCCATCCCCCCATTCTAGTTTCACTGAGGGGTGGCATCGTGGTTACTTACACCCAAGTTGTTGTTGCTGTCATTCAGTGGCCTGACAAAGTAATCAGCAGCACCACACCCTGTTTGTTGTTTTCCCCCCATTGCACAATCTGGACTCTGATCCTTTTCTCTGCTCAGTTCTCTGCTAGTCACACAAAGCTCTGTGTCTATATTTCTCCCCACATTCATTCCCCATTTTTGATAAACTAATGCACAGTTCTTTTAAATTGAGAGTCATCTAACATATCACCATAAAAGCTTACACTGCATTCCACTTCCTTTAAAATAAAACTACACAATCAGCATGTAACCATGAGAAATATTAGATCATCACCTACTTGGGTTGTCTTAAGTCCAGTGGGAAACAGAAAGGAGGTATTTCTTTTTATAGAACGTTTCACAAAACCTGAAGTCGCAAAGCATCTGCCAGTCAGTGAAATATTTTTGAAGTGTATTTACCGTTATAATGTCAGGAGCGCGACAGGTTGTTTAAAAAACCCATTTGATTCACAACGTCCCTTAGGGAAGGAAAAGCTTCCTTCATCACTTTATCTGGCCTACATGGGAGTCCAGATCCACAGCAATATGGTTGACTCTTAAATCTCCTCTGAAATGGCTAGCAAGTCAGCCAGTTCTATCCAACCAGCACAGACTAAGGAACTGGAACAATAACAATACAGTCCTGTCGACCCTGCAAAGTCTTCCTTACTAATATCTGGGGGATAATGGTAAAATTGGGAGAGCTGTCCCATTAACTAATCAAGAAGAAGCAGAGAATATTACCTTACAGACAGTATCCCAGACAACACCACCACCATCCCTGGGTACATGAACAGGACAGGTGCACCAGAAATGGTGTAAAATAGCATATTGTTAGCAAGGAAAAGCTCCTCCCCGGTAGTCTTCAATATTGACCCTGGGCCCCATGAAGTCTCATAGCATCCAGTCGAACATGGGCAAGAAAACCTCCTAATTACCACCTACCATCCCTCCTCAACTGGCGAACTAGTACTCCTCAACAGTTAGAGTAAAACACTAAGAGTATACTCGGTGACCGAGGGTTGGGTGGGCGATTTCTATCTCTGTCATCAGGAGTGGCTTTGTAACACCGCTGTTATCTGACATGGCCGAGTCTTAAAGGACATAGCTACTAGATTAGGCCTACGATAGATAGTGAGGAAACCAGAAAGAGGGAAAATTGTATGTCCTCATCAATCTATCTGTAACACATTCATCTGACCATGACAGTATTGTTAGCGGTGACCACTGCACAGCCCCATTGTCCCATTTAGGATACCCTCCATTGTGGTCTGTACTGCTATCACTGTGTCAAAGGGGATTATTTTTAAACAGATTTAGCAACTCAAAGCTGAGCATCCATAAGGAACTATGTGCTCTCACCAGACGCAGAGTTGTATTCAACCATAATCTGTAACCTGTAGCTTCTGCCTTGTAGATGGTAGACGGGCTTTGGGGAGTTAGGAGGTGAGTTACTCGCTGCAGTATTCCTAGCCTCTGATCTGCTCTTGTAGCCACTGTTTATGTGGCAAGTCCAGTTGAGTTTCTGGTCAATGGTAACCCTAAGGACATTAATAGTGGGGGATTCAGTGATGATAACACCATGGAATGTTAAGGAGTAGTGTTTAGATTGTCTCTTATTGGTGGTGGGCATAGACTGGCATTTATGTGGGGCAAATGTGACTTGCCACTTGTCAGCCCAAGCCTCAATATTGTCCAGATCCTGTTGCTTTTGAACAGACTGCTTCAGTATCTATGGAGTCACAAACAGTGGTGAAGATTATGCAATCATTAGTGAACAATCTCACTTCTGATCTTATGATGGAGGGAAGGACATTGATGAAACAGTTGAAGATGGTTGGGCCTAGGACACTACCCTGAGGAACTCTATGGAAATTATCAATGAGGATAGTGCAGGATATTGGCCTTGAGATAGATGATCAGCCATAATCTAGTTGGAGCAAGCTTGAAGGGCCGAATGGCCTAATCCTTCTATTTCCTATGTATGTTTGCCTCACTTTGAATTAATGATAAACAGTAATTTATGCAATGATCCCTCTGTTCCATGTTTCTGTTTAATTCTAAGGACTCCTTTGTACCTTTGATATTTTTCCGTGGATTTGCTTGAGTAAAATTTGCCCTGTATGAAGGTGTTTGATTAGGAAATGACTGCTGTTCTAAATTCTCAAATGTTTTGTTCCGCAGATGCTCCTGCAGCAGCTCCTACCTCCAATGGGACCACGTGTGTGAACACAGCACCATCTGGTGATCTGGACCTCTTTGGACCCATGGTGTCTAATCCACTGCCTGATTCCAGCTCTTTCCCAAACACAGTAAGTACTAAGATTTTGAGTGTGCAGGGCTGGGCACTAAATCCTAGTGTATAGGACATTTGTGGAGTGAATTGCAGACTTAATTGAGAAGGTCCAATATTGGGGTTCTAGGCCAAGGTAAGGATGTAATTCAGTTGCGAGTGGAGATACTTCACTCCCTTATTGAGCCTTCCAATGCCCTTAGAATAGATTCATATCCTACTGTTATATAATAGCTTGCAGTTCACAAGATAACGTCTGAGCACCTGAGTAAAGAGACAAATGAAGAGCAGGGAGCATCACTGAATTAACTTCATTGAATTCAAAACAAAGTACTGGAGCTGTTTGAGAATCCCAGTATCTGAAAGAGGAACATCCAGTTGGTGCTTTGGGCAGATTCCTCTTTGTATCAACAACAACCTGTGCCTTTATTGTGAGCACCACCACTAGGTGGCACAGTGCTGGCACTTTTGCTGTGCATATCATTGCAAAGTGGCAAAACAGCAGCTTTCCCGGAAACTCAAACTAATATCACAGTCCAGTTTAATACTGCTGATTTTTCCTCTACAAATTTGGATCTTGCTAGCAAAATCATTTATTATTAAATTATGAATACAGATCCTCATATTATGTGTGGAGCTTTAGAACCAATTATTAAATGTGTCACCTAATCCTTCTATAGTTGCACGTCACTTTGCTTTAAAACACTGTTTTTCCAGCGTGCTGTGTATTCTGGGTAATGACGTCCTCCGTTAACCAGTTGAACCATTGATCAGATCCCATTTCGAATTGAGACTGGAGAGAAGTAGAAAATGTGACACAGATGCTAGAATAATGAAAATAAATAGAAACAAATGTGCTCTCAGTATTGGGTAGGATGCCAGAAAGCCATGTACAATGTCGCAGCTACCAACTACTTTGATAAACTTGAGGGTTTTTACAATGAAATGTTATCTTCCATTCATTTTTCATGTGCACTTTTGCAAGCGATAAATTTGTTATTTTGTTTTGAGTTCTTTGCCAGAAATTCAGGCTCATCTCTGACCTGTAAGCAGTGCAAGTATAAAGGCACAAACTGTCAGTATGAAGTATTTTTTCCTAGTTTACCAACAGCAGTGTGTGAACCAATAGTACATTCCTGAAGATTACTACATAATGCAAGATGTTTGCCAGCCCTGTTGATAGTACACATGACTTTTGAAGCAAAAACAGAAGTTGCTGGAAAAGCTCAGCAGGTCTGGCAGCATCTGTACCGTTTTTGAGGTGAGGATAGGAACCATCTTAGTTGTGGCTCCGCTTCTCTCTCCGACTAAATCCAAAGCGACAGTCTATGAGGATTGTTTATGCTCACACTAGTAGCTGCTTGGATCAGTTACTAGGGGCTCCTGTTGTATGTGAAACTCAAACCCAAAACTGGCGAGAGTCCAAAGCCATAGTAAGTTACCTGGTCCAGCACTAGTATTGGAGAAAGAATTCTGCTTCACGCTGACAACAGTCAAGGTTATGACAGTTAATAGTTGAGAGAGAGAAATTTGGTCATTTAAATACAGCAAAATTGATGTGATCAATCTATTACATCAGAAAACAAAATGATCAAGGCGACATGGTGGCTCAGTGGTTAGCACTGTTGCCTCTTAGTGTCAGGGACCCAGATTCAATTCCTGCTTTGGGTGTCTGTCTGTATGGAATTTGCACGTTCTCTCTTGCGCTGCTTGGGCTTCCTCCCACAATCCAAATATGTGCAGGTTAGGTGGATTGGCCATATTATATTGCCCATAGTGTCCAAGGATGTATAAGTTAAGTGGATTGACCGTGAGAAATGCAGGGTTACAAGGATAGCGTAGGACGATAGGTCTGGGTAGAATGCTGTTTGGAGAGTTGATGCAAATTCAATGGGTTGAATGGCCTGCTGTAGAGTTCCATGATTCTACGATCACAGTGTTTTGCTAAGTCACCATTGTTGCCCCATCATGATAATATACCAAGCCCTCGTACAGCAGTGTTCTGTTTTTAGCTCCACTGGGGCTCTGTGTGAAAAGGACACAGTGGCATGAGTGTTATCAGCATGACCGTGGTGGCGTAGCACCCATTCTAGTGAATATTTTGGCCTAAATAGCTAACATAAGAGATTGAATGTAAGTGATGTAATTCTGTCATAGACAGTAACTTCTAAAGGAAAATCTTCGATGAATGTGATTGTCACAATAAAGATTTCAATGTTGTTGTTCAAGGTGTTGGCCTCAACTCCGCAGGAAGGAGCTGAAAATCTGAACCTCTTTGCTGAGCCCAGTGTGAAACCAGAGGATTCTGGAAAGAAGCAGCTTTCAAAGGACTCCATTCTGTCACTTTATGGGTCACAGACCCAAGTTCCTACTCAAGGTACAGCACTAAACCCCTGGCCCCAAATCTTTACAAGGAGGGGACACAGGATCAAAGGAGAAATGGGTATCATGTTGATCCTTTGCACAGACCAGTATGATAAATTTGTGGTTTCTGGTGCAGAAATAACAGACCATTCCCGGGGATCCTTAGGATAATACTCTTAGTCAACAGAGATTAGGATTTGGTGGTTTGGGGATGGTTGACTGTTCGTAGTAGTGAGCTGGGGTTGCTGAATGTTTCCTGAGGATCGAATAGGGGCCATCCAGTTCCATCAGGCCCATAAAGAATGCACTGTAAAGTTACTTGCCTCTGGTGCCAACAGCTCCTGCCTCCCTTCCCATGCTGAGTTTCCTAATTTCAAATGCAATAATTGATCAAATCAAATCGGGCTTTCAGTAGCACTTTGGAAACCTGATGTAACTATTATAATCTAAGTGTGGCAACTTTCCAAGATGGAGTACATGCACAGCTTGAAATCTGAAGTCACTGAGGGCAGGGATTATATTTTCTAATGTAAAATCTTCAGTCCACTCCAGACCAATTTTTGGAAAGTCAATGCCAAGCTAAATGTTTTAATGTCCACATCTAGATATCTTCTGTGCAGCACAAATTCTGTCAGTTCTGTAACCAGTTACACCTCTTAAACAGTTTTTAAAAAAAAAAAAAGTCTGCTCACTGAGTAAAGGTAAAAGGTAAAGTCACCATAGTCCCAGAGACCCTTGGGCTGCTCTCTCATTAGAGACAGACAACTGGTGATGGTTTAACCTGAGGTCATCGTGCCTCAGGAAAAGGGCAAGGTTGGGAAGCTGGGACCTCCATGGTCATCTCCACTGCTTACTGAGATATAACTTAGCACTGAGAGTTTGATAAAACAGACTCATTATTACATTACCCATATGACCATTAACTATTAATAATGGCTCACCACAAAGTGTGGTGTCTCTAAATTAACCGAAAGAACTGAAACAAAAATTACAAAATACCAGGTAGAAAAAAGTGACCCCCTCCAGTGTAATAAATTTTGTGTGCACTTTTATCCCAAACAGAACACCTGGTTCCCATTCCCATGAGAATGTAACTGGATAATGAAAACAAAGGGTGCCTTAAACAAGTGTAGAATAAGTTCATCAACAATTGCCCTTTATAATATTCCAGAATGTCTTTGGGAAATCTATGATTTGGAAAACGTTAGAGTCTTTTATAAAGGAAATGATAGCAGAGCATTTAAAAATTCACAGTTTAATCAAGCAGAGTCAGTATGGCTTTATGAAGGGGAAATTATGCCTGACAGATTTACTTCAGGTCTTTAAGGACGTAACAAGCAGGATAGATAAAGGAGAACCAGTAGATGTGGTATAATAGGATTTCCAAAAGATGTTCAATAAAGTACTGCACACTAAGATGAGAACCCATGGTGTTGGGGTAGTATATCAACATGAATAGAGGATTAGCTAGCTAATATGAGAGAATCAGAATAAATGGAGACTTTTCAGGATGACAACTTATAACGAGTGGAGTGCCACAGGGATCATTGCAGGGACAACAGTTGTTTACAATATACATAATGAATTGGATGAGAAAAGTGAATGCACTATGGCTATGTTTGCAGGTAACACAAAAATAGATGGGAAGGCAAGTAGTTAGGATGACACAGAGTCTACAAGTGGATATAGACAGAAACAAAGAAAAGTACAGAAGGAGCAGGCCCATTGGCCCACCAAGCCTGCACTAACACATGCCTTTCTAAACTAAAAACCTTATGCTTCTACATGGCGTATATTCCTCTATTCTCTGCCTCTTCATATATCTGTCAAGATGCCACTTAAATGTTGCTATTGTGTCCATCCCCATCACCTCTCTGGCAGCACATTCTAGGCACTTACTATCCTCTGTATAAATGAAACTTGCCTCACACATCTCCTTTACACCGACCCCTTTCTACCTTAAACTGATGCCCCCTAGTAACTGACATCTCTTTCCTGGGAAAAGCCTTTGACTATCCATTCTATCTATGCCTCTCATCATTTTGTAAACTTGTATCAGGTCACCCCTCAAACTTTTGACATTCAAGTGAAAACTAACCAAGTTTGCCCAATCTCACCTCATCACTAATATCCTCCAAACCAGGCAATATCCTGGTGAACAGTTTCTGTACCCTCTCCAAAGTCCCCACATCCTTCTGGCAGTGTGTGACCAGAACTGTACACAATATTCTAAACGTTGCTGAACTAAAGTTTTCTATACAGCTTCAACATGACTTGCTAATTTTTATACTTTACGCCCTGACCGATAAAGGCAAGCATACTTTCTTGACCATCATATCCACTTGTGTTGCCACTTTCAAGGAACTGTGGACCTGTAGGCCTAGATCTCTTTGTATTTTGATTCCATTTACTGTACACTTCCCTCGTGTATTAGATTTCCCAAAATACATCACCTTGCATTTTTTCGGATTAAACTCCATCGGCCATTTCCCCACCCAAGTATTCAGCCTGTCTATATCTTGCTATACCCTCCAGCAATCCTCTTCACTGTCCACCAATCTTTATGTTGTCTGCAAACTTACCAATCAGGCCATCCACATTCTCCTCCAAACCATTTATGTATATTACGAGCAAAAGTAGTGATCCCTGCAGAACACCACTGGTCACAGACCTCAAATCTGAAAAACATTCTTCTGTCGATACTCTGTTTTCTATAACTAAGCCAGTTCTGTATCCATCTGTCCAGCTTACCATGGATCCCAAAGAACAGGTTAAGTCAAATGAGCAAAATTTTGGCAGATGGAATATAATGTGGGGAAATGTAATGTCATGCACTTTGGCAGGAAGAAAGAAAAGCTGAATGCTATTTAAATGGAGAAAGACTGTAGAAAGCTGCAGTCCAGGGATTTGTGGGTCTTTGACAAAATAATCTCAAAAAAGGTAGCCTATAAGATCAGGTAGGAGGGAAGGCAAATGGAATGTTAACTTACTTCAAAGGAAATGGAGTATAAAAGTAAGGAAGATTTTCTAAAACTATACAAGATACCAGTCAGATCACAGCTGGAATACTGTGAATAATTTTAGCCTCTTTTATCTAATGAAAGATTTACTGGCATTGAAGGCAGCCCAGTGAAGATTCACTGGGTAAATTATGGGTAGGAAAGGATTTACTTCTCAGGAGATGTTGGGTATGTTGGGCCTGTACTCATTGTTTCGAAGAATCAGAGGTCATCTTATTGAAAGATACAAGATTCTTAGGGACCTAAACAGGGTAGATATGGGAACGTTGTTTCCCCTTGTATAGAATCAGAGGGCATATTCTTAAAAGAAGGGGTCACTCTAAGATGAGGAGGAATTTCTTCTGAGTGTAATGACTCTCTGGAATTATTTATCACACAGGGTTGTCAAGGCTGAGATAGACAGATTTAAAGGGTTCTGGGGAAAGGGCAGGAAAGTGGAATTGAGGATTGTCATCAGCCATGGTCTTAGATAGTGGAGCAAACACGAACAGCCAGATGGCCTATTTCTGCTGCTCTGTCTTATGGTTCAATGTTCAGTTTGATTATCTCCCATCTCGAGATTAGTAAGCAAAATTAAAGCTCATGGTATAGGAGGTAATGTATTACCATGGATAGAGAACTGGTTGGCAGAGGTAGCCTATAAGATCAGTGAGTTGAAATAAACAGGTCCTTTTCAGAGTGACAGGCAGTGATGAGTGGGGTACTGCCAGGTTCAGTGTTGGGACCCCAGCTGTTCACAATATACATTAACGATTTGGACGAAGGAATTGAATGCAATATCTCCAAATTAGCAGATGACACTAAGCTGGGTGGAAGTGTGCTGTGAGGAGGATGCTAAGAGGCTGCAAGGTGACTGGGACAGACTGGCTGAGTGGGCAAATACTTGGCAAATGCAATGTAATGTGGATAAATGTGAGATTACCCACTTTGGTGGCAAAAACAGGAAGGCAGATTATCACCTGAACAGGAAAAGGCAGTTTAGGGAAAGGTGAAATGCAATGATACCTGAGTCGCTGAACGTTGACATGCAAGTGCAGCAGGCCATGAGGAAAGCTAATGGCATGCTGGTCTTCATAACGAGAGGATATGAGTATCAGAGTAAGGATGTCTTGCTGCAGTTGTACAGGGCCTTGGTGAGGCCACACCTTGAGTATTGTGTGCAGTTATGGTCTCCTAGTCTGCAGAAAGATATTTTGCTCTGAAAAGAGTCCAGCGAAGGTTCACCAGACTGATTCCCAGGATGGCAGGAGTAACGTATGAAAGATTGGATCAACATGTCTTGTACTCATTGGAATTTAGAAGAATGATGGGGGAACTTATTGCAACATACAGAAAACCTGATGGAACTGGACAGGCTAGTTGTGGGAGGAATGTTCCCTATGTTGGGGAAGTCCAGAACTAGGGCTCACAGCCTAAGAAATAAGGGGTAAGCCATTCAGGACTGAGATGAGGAAGAATTTCTTCACGCAGAGTTGTGAACCTGTGGAATTCTCTACCACAGAAAGCTGTTGGAGTCAGTTCGTTAGTTATATTCAAGAGGGAGCTAGACGTGGTCCTTGTGGCTTAAGGAATCAAGGGATATGGAGAGAAAGCAGGAGTAGGATACTGAAATTGCATGATCAGCCATGTTCATATTAAATGGTGGTGCAGGCCTGAAGGGCCGAGTGGCCTACTCCTGCGCCTATATTCTGTTTCTTTCAACCCAACAATGAGGCTGAATTCTTTGAATTACTATATACATGTGACAGTTTGGGTCCAATTTCTCGGGTCCAGTGAGAAGCCTGCTTTCTTTATTCAACTCACTCCAGACTTTCACTCCCATCTTCAGTTCTGTGTTTTCGCTGATGATCTTAGCAGAGCGCTTCTGCTAAACTCGAGCTGTGATAGCATTTAATGGTGTGAATGGCGCGGCCTCCTTAACATCTGTGCAGCACAGATGTTGTGATTTGCACTGTGACAGATTGAGGACATGTTGATTTAGTGTAGGATTCACAGTGTAAAGTTTTTGTTAGTGAGTCAGGTGGTGATTAGATACAACAGACTGTGATTTGGAATTCTGTTCCTCGTTGATGTTAAGGGAGATTTATTTAGAACCACACAAATGTGCAACACGGTTGTGTTGGTTCTTTGAAAACGCGGATATGCTTAGATTCATGCACCTGCATTTATCTGTTACCCTAATCATTCTTCGCCTCACGTACTTGTCCAGTTCCCTTTGAAAATTGTTTACGGAATCAGCTTCCAACATCTTTTCAGATCAAATGTTCTAGAACCTAACAACCCTTCATGAAAACATGTCTGCTCACCTCCCCTCCATGTCCTTTTAAGGTCAGGAATCTCGCTGACTGAAATTTCTTGATCATATATCTTCTTCATTCACTGAATCATTAGAGCAGATTTTATAGAGAGAACAGTTAATGCACAACAGGTAAACTCAGAACTTGCAATTGGCTAAGAACTGCACAGATCTAAACATGGATTGTTTGAACTTTATTGCAAGCAGGTGATGTTCTGATGCCATCACTACAGATGCAGGAAATGCTCCTCCCAAGGTTATGTATGGCACAAATAAACACTGTCATTTATAATATACCTTCTTTCCAGAATTTTCCTCCTATGGTACATGACACTCCTCTCAGAGAGCACTAACTACCACATTTCTACCAATTTTGACATCCTTCCAATGTCACCCTGTAGCTTTAAATATCATCATTTCTATTAGTTTGCCAACTTTCGGAGTATTTTTTAAACTTATCTTGGGACATCAGTGTCACTGTCAAGTCTGACATTTATTGCCCTGGGTGGTGGGGCTTCTCCCCAAACTATAGCTGAGAAGAGTTTATTGCAGATTTCCAGGTCATTTGAGGGCAATTAAAAGTCAGCCACATATAGAACAGCCTGGAAAGCAGGCTTCCATCCCTCAAGGACTTCAATGAACCAGTTAAATTTTATATTAATCACGGTGACTTTTACTAATGCTTTAATCTTTTTTTAATTGAATTGAAGAGCTGAGGTGGGTTTTGAACTCGGATTCACTAGACGTTTGGTCCTGGCCTCTAGGTTACTAGTTCATTAACATATAACCATTATGTTTTCATACCTAATTGAAATGTTAGGTCTATTAATTAATTTACACATGGTGAACTTTCTGATGTCAACATTTCCACTTGTTTTGCGATCCTATCTATTCACTGTGTTTCAGTCAGTCCAGTTGCCTCAAGCACAATTGTTCCTGACTGATATTCACATGTAAATGGTCCCACCACTGTGTTTACAGACAAAAGCTTTCTTCCAGTGTATTGTGAATTCATCAAAACGCCATACCTTTTCAGCACTATCAGTTTGTAACCAAAATACTAGCCAGGAATGAATATTGCATTTTCTAGCCTTTGAAGGTATAAGGAGGTTTAGACACCACCTGACCTAGTGAAGTCAGGCAGACCAGACCTAAGGCTTAACCCTTTATCTGAAAACCTCTGGACCAACTGTTTTCTGGATGTTGGATATTTTTGGTTTTTGGATACAAGGCAGTAAATAGGTTCATGCAGTTTCAATCACTTGTTCTAACTTGGCAAATAGAGTTAACGTCAAGATCACAGTGTCTGCTCGTATTTCTGAGACCTTTCCAGTCTTACTGACTCTGTTGGGAAATCTTTGTCACCTTGCTTTAATGGATCCATTAAATAATTCAGAATGGTTATTACCTTCTGTAATAGTTGCACCCAACTATTATCGATCACGTTGTGTGCATTGGTGTGTATAGGCAGCACTCCCATAACAGAAGAATCAGGCACAAAGCAATGTCTAAATCACTAGCATTTACCAAGATACACTTAGGTCCATTATCTGTCTATTGAAAATAACTGCATAACCTGAACAAACCTAAGGGTAATGTTTATCTTTCCAAGGGACTGAATTGACTTGTAGACACGCTGAGTTTGGGCTCTTTGTGGGGGGAGAAAAGAAATCTTTGCTTTTAGGTTAATTTGGATCTATTTGGGCTGAGCAAAGCTGTTTTTCCAAAGGGCTTGAACTCAGGGTGCCTACAGATCCATTTGGGTCCACTTTCGAAAAGGTCTTCACTTTAAGTCTTCTCAGTTTTCAGATATGTGGATAAAGGATAACTGACCTGTACTGTCTTCCACATGATTTTGCATTTCCATTGTTTTTCCCTTAACTCGATCCCTCGCATTTGCAGATTGTGCTTTCAACTACATCTCACGTTTTTACCTCCTGCCGCGCATTTTGTTTTTGAAGATTCTGGAGATGTCACTTAGATTTGCATGTGCATTCTTTCCAATCCTGTGTAACAGAAGCTGTTACAAGGAGCTCATTTAAAAAGCAACCAAGTAACTGGCTTCACTCTCTTTCCCGCAGGCACGATGTTCATGGCTTCTGGACAGGTGCCCTACGCTCCCTGTCTGCCATCTGGTTACACCAACTTCCCACCTATGGGTAGTGCAGTTACACCAACTGGTGGCATGATGAATAATGTAGGGCAGACGATGGGCATGATGGCCCCAGTGGCACTGCCAGGAGGATATGTAGGAGGCGTGCAAGCTGGAGTAATGGGCATGCCCAGTGGGATGGCAGCACAACAGGGTGCCTATGTGAGTGGATTGGCCATGCCTCAACCGGTGTACGGAGTCCAGCAGGCACAGCAGCTGCAATGGAACATCACCCAGGTAAGCAGCATTCCTGCCTGCACCTTAATGTCTTAACACAGCATTTGCAGCACACTCACGTGTATGGTAACATGGGCAAACTTGCTGCATCAGGCCCCTCAGCATGTTGTTCAAGAGGCAATTGCAGCTCACAGTCACATCTCCATCCAGAATCCACACTGGGGGCAATATTGCTTGAAATTTGCTTCATCCATAACCTATTTGTTTTGACATATGCCACCTTTACATGTTTTGGCCACGGACACATGGCATCTTAATGTGAAAACCTCATGAGCTGTCTGCATAGTACCTATGCGATCTCTCTATGAGTGTGTGGAGATAGTGGACCATTTTCTAGTTTCAATATGACAGAATGACTTGTTGGACCACTTCAGAGAGCAGTAAAAGGCCACCCACATTTATGTGGGATATACTGATCAGATCAGATAAGGGTTATACATGTTCCTCCCTAAAGGACATTATTAAACGGGTTGAGCTTTCATAGCAATCCAACAATTTCATGGTCAATTTTACAGAAATTACAACATATATTTTTGAACTAAACTGAATTCCTTAATTAGTGCGATTTAAAGTTCTGTTTTGTGGAGTACTGCTCCCATAACCTGACTATTATATGCCCAATCAACACTAGTGGCTGTATGTTTATTCCCAATCTCAACATTCTACAATTCAAGGAGAAGCAGAACTTACTAAATTGGCACATAACAATAAACACTAAGGTACATGTCTCCTAGTAGCCACCTCTGCTCAGCAGCAGGGTCTGGAATTTGATTGAGACAACAAGCAAGGTCGCAGAATTAAAAATTCTTACACTAAGTTGTAATTGTGCAGTCTGTGTTGCATACTTAAGTGATTCAATTTTTGTTTACTCAACATGCTGTTGGGTCTTTCCAGTTACTTGATATTGAGTCATGTTACCATTAAATAATTAGATTGAACCATTCAATTTTGAGCAATGTATAAGGGAATTGGGATCTGATTTGGAGTGTGCATTGACAGGAGCAGTGAGAATGACTGACTATTGTACAATTATCATTGTGCCCCACCTCCTCCTAGGTGTATCCTTTTATAGATACTGAAATCCCAGAGAAATATCATTCCTAACTTGACTCTTCTCGGATCGCCTGTTAGGACAACTACTTTTCCAGTCTGCTGGTGTTAACCTCTTTTCAGTTCTAATGGACTAAACCCCTTTTCAGTTATGATAGCTTACCACTAGGCACATTCAACCTGAAGATTTGACAAAGAACAAAGAGAATTACAGCACAGGAACAGGCCCTTCGGCCCTCCAAGCCTGCGCCGATCCAGATCCTCTATCTAAACCTGTTGCCTATTTTCCAAGGATCTGTATCCCTCTGTTCCCTGCCCATTCATGTATCTATCTAGATACATCTTAAATGACGCTATCGTGCCCGCCTCTACCACCTCCGCTGGCAACGTGTTCCAGGTACCCACCACCCTCTGTGTAAAGAACTTTCCACGCATATCTCCCTTAAGCTTTTCCCCTCTCACCTTGAAATCGTGACTCCTAGTAATTGAGTCCCCACTCTGGGGGAGAAAAGCTTCTTGCTATCCACCCTGTCCATACCTCTCATGATTTTGTAGACCTCAATCAGGTCCCCCCTCAACCTCCGTCTTTCTAATGTAAATAATCCTAATCTACTCAACCTCCCTTCATAGCTAGCGCCCTCCATACCAGGCAACATCCTGGTGAACCTCCTCTGCACCCTCTCCAAAGCATCCACATCCTTTTGGTAATGTGGCGACCAGAACTGTACACAATATTCCAAATGTGGTCTAACCAAAGTCCTATACAACTGTAACATGACCTGCCAACTCTTGTACTTAATGCCCCGTCCGATGAATGAAAGCATGCCGTATGCCTTCTTGACCACTCTATTGACCTGCATTGCCACCTTCAGGGTACAATGGACCTGAACACCCAGATCTCTCTGTGCATCTCTGTGACAAATTAAAACTCTTCTGCTATAAGGAAACTACTCCTTGAACTGAAACCTGACTGTCCTGTCAGGTGGAAGTTGTTCTGTTTTCTGAGCTGAACTCCTGAATTGAAGTCAAAACAAAACCCCCTAGTGGGCCTCTGATCTGTCAGAAACAAAGCAGAATAAACATTTCATTCATTAATACGACAGGGGTCCAGCCAGGCACTTGACTGAGTCATGTGCCTTCCTGAAAGTTTGTTGTTAGTGTACTGTTCTAAATTACTTTTTTAAAGAAAATGTCTTCACAGAACTGTGCCTGCCTCTCTTTAAATTCTAAGTTCCGTGATATTGATATATATTAATCATCTTTTATCATAATCTTCTGGTTGGAAAGATTATATTCAGTATGCCACATGCACCTCAGTGGAAATCCATTTGTGTTTTTCACTTGAAAAGGATCTTGTGTTCAGACCGACTTGAAGAAAGTGCACTGATTCTCAAGCCCCCTCTGCCGGGGTAACTACAGAGTCAATGATCTTAATCTAAATCTTAATCTAAATCAAAGTCCCCATTTTACCTGTTTGATGGAATCAGGTTAATGGAAAACATTTATCTGGTTCCTGCACTCAACAAGAACTAGTGTTTGGTACACAAATAAGTTCTCGCCACAGGTAAACAACCATGAACTGTCAGCGTATAACTGTACTAGTTGAAAGTCTAACCCCCTTTCCCCTGCACAGGCAGGCAAATATCAAAGCATTGACATTATGGAGGGGTGGAGGGGAGAAAAATCTGAGAAACACAGTGAAATAGCATTAGTCAATTGGGTTCAATGAGATGTTCCTTTTGCTTCCCAAGACCTCCTCTTGCTCGGTTTGCTTTCTCCAGATTCTTCCACTTCTTTACAAGAGGCACAAGATAATTGGTACACTCATTACAGAGTGTCTTAGTTACTGGTTAAAGGCAACAGCTTATAGCAGCTGGCGGGAGAAAATAACTACCTTTCTTTAGGCTTCAGATACTTTTACTGCAGAGAAATAAACACAGAATCTGTTCTTCCAGAAGGCCAGTGGCTTCTTGCTGTCTATTATAAATACAAATTGGAGGCAACTGGAAAGTCCTCGAGCTGATCACTTCCTACGTCTACATCTGATCACATTTCCACAAAACAGTCAGCGACCTCTTGTCAGTTGAATTATGCTCTGTACACACCCCAGTGCTGTGCTGTCTCATCTCAGTTCCCCCATGGCTTGCAAAGCAACAGTGTAAACTCAACTTGCAATGACTTCCGCTAATTTGTTTTCAAAAGTGCAGTAATTCTTTCCCCAGTCCTTGGTTTAAAACAGTCGTTTCCAATTTCAGTCCACAATCCAATAATGAAGAAAAATAAAAGGATGCAGTCTTTACATTTGGAATTCTTTTGCTTTAATGAGCCAGCAGCTGGGATAGTTCTATTTCTTGAAATTTAGCTCCTCATCAAAGATTACACCTGAAATTACCAATTTAGTATGCGTTTGTAACATTACAATTCTGTCCATTATGTTGATTTGTCTGGCCTTGTCTGCTCAATTCAGTCTGTCCTTCAGTTCATTCATATAAGGTGTCTGTCTGGGTAAAGAGTGAGTGTAAAGATTGTACCCAGTGCCTTACTTGGCTTTGTTTCATTTCAGATGACTCAGCAGATGGCAGGAATGAATTTCTATGGTGCCAATGGGATGGTGAATTATGGACAGTCATCAGTACCCATGGGAGCGGGAGCTGCTCCAGCTGCTGGGCAATCTGTGGGCACCCAGATGTGGAAGTAACTGGACCACAAATAAACAAGAAACGACAATCGCTCCGTGCTTCAGAACCATGGCTTCTTCTCTACTCCAGCCAGTTTGCTGTGTGCGATCTCAACTCCATTTTTTGCCTGTAGATCCTACACAGACTTGGCGAGAAATTCACCATCAAAACAGCAGCCATCATTACCAAAGTCAATTTTTAAAACAAATATTTTTCTCCCAAAGGTGGATTCTTTGGGAGTGTGATTCCTTCAAACAATGTGTGGGAGGGGTGTGTGATCTTTGTGCTCAGCGCAGCTTTAGCCACTTGTTACTGTTTAAATCTGTTTGTCATTCGTTTTGTGACACAATAGCAACACATCCCACCATGCCTTGTTATTAGTGCTGGTTTACAATTGATAAGATACGGCTCTGAGAGAATTGATCAGGACAGAGCTATTCAGATTGAGAAGAGCATGGTGATAATGCAAATAATAATGATAATTACTCATGTCCTGTTAATCAACCTGAGCCTTGTTAAACAGAATGCAAATGTATGAACCGAAGCATATATGTGCCTCACATTTAACAAAGAACTCCCTCATTTAGGTTAAAAACCTTTGGTAAATGTGCACCTCTTAAAATTGTCTTGTTGGGTTAATTGTTTGGCTGATAACTATTAAGTGATTGGTATTGTTTACAGTAATTTATATAGTAATGCTATTTTAACAGTTCATCTGTTGATTGGCACTGACTCCATATTTAAATTGTAACAGCTAGTTTGGAATTTAGTTACAGATCAGCAAATCTTGGTTGGAGGAATGACACAGCACAAAAGAAATGGAGAAACTTTCTTATTCTGTAATTTGTGACCAATATTATCGAGCACAAGGTCCAAACGGGTTAGCTAAGACCTGCCCCTCTGCCTGTCTGAGAGTGAAATGCCTCACTCAGTAAGTCACCAGTTTACTCATTGGCCCAAGTAGTCTCATTGCTTTTAAACTACAAGCAAAGTTGTTTTAAAGTGGAGCTCAGCGCATTTTTGTGAGAATGTTGAAGGATAACGGAGACAGATCAAGAGTGGAGAGATCTGCCAGTGTTTGAGACTGCTACTCATGGATTGTGGGTCCAGGGTTTGACCGGCCAGAATGAGGGTGGAGTGGAATCACATTCACAGACTGCATTGGTCAAATCACTTACATTACTTTGTTAACCTCAGGTCTGTGGTCTAGTTAGGCTCCTTGCATTTTGGCAGATAATAACCATTGCTCTTCAGTTGAGGAAGGTGTTCAAATGCACAAATTTGGTACTGTTTCTTCCATATCGTAGGTGGCTGAAGACAGAGGACTTGGGGTGGTTCTCTCAGTTGGTGTACTGAGTCTGGATTGACATGCACAGAACATACTTGAACTATCAACACTTGTTATTGTGGATGGAAAGGAGAGAGCACTGTGTTCACCGCAAGGTTGACACTTGCTGATTTTCCCAGCAGTCACAAATCTGAGTCCCTTTCTTCTCCCCAACAATCCTCCCCCCTCAGATTGTCTGACTGTTAGACCACGAGTTAGCACTGATCTCTGAGTCTAATTGTACAAAAGAAGTAGCAGGACTTTGAGCAGATACTGTGAAACAACTGGAAGCAGATTACAGGGAATGGCAGTAAGGTACTGCACATCTGCTGTGCGACTGTCTGATCATCCCCTTGCCAGTTTGAATGGAGAGTGCCCTTTGATTTCCTGTGTCTGGATTTTTTTTTGAGGGTTAGGAAAAGAGAGAATTCCTTTTGCACTTGCCAGCAACATTGCTGCTTTAACTAACTTCCAAAAGTGTTGAGGGAGGGATGCTGGGCAGTAAAGGCATCTGATCCACTAAAACACATCTCATGGGACTTTTCACGAGTTTGCTAATTAGATTTAGGGCAAATGTCACGTTTACAATTTTAGAAATATTGGTTTTTGCTGGGTCATTATACCTGGATAGGGAATTCTAAAATAATGTAATATTTTTAACTCTTGTAGTACAGTATACCAGGATGTTATGATCTGTAGTTAGGGCTGTAAGTAGATCAGGGCAGTTGTCTAAGGAACTGGTGAACTAGAGGTGACTGCTGCAGCTCCACTTTGGGTTTTCAGTTTTTTGTTTGAAATATTGACTTGCTAAGGCAATTGGAGCAAACTCATGCAGTCCAGTGACTCTCACTGTAACAGTTCAGAATCTACATGGTCCTAAAGGGTGTTAAGTGATTTGAAACACAGCAGAAACTTCCAAATACATTGGCTCATGTGGTGCAGACCCCAGTGACATTTTAGGTTTTCTCTAAGTCTGACAAGAATTCAGGAAATATTAACCTTACACAATCTGAATTGTTGTCTAGCAATATTTGAATCATTTAATACATAGTACAGAATAACTGGAAACTCAAAACTGTATGTAGGGAAAAGAATATCCTGTGTAAGTCTTGGGTTTGTAGCTTGACTTTCTGAAACACAGCTAATGTTTGGCTTTGTGTTTCTTTGCTTCGAATTTCTGTTAAACTAACTTCCTTCCTGATGCAAATGTTGGACTCAGAATTTCAAGTTGAAAGGAAATGTAATAAATGGCAAGGATCTGCCGTAAAAAATAAAAAGCTATACTCTGAGCTGTGAATGAGAATACTGTTTACAGAATGCAGTGTTTGTCTTGTGCTGAGGCAATATAATGTTCAATTGAATTCTCCCTACAGCATTTCTGCACATAGACGCCCACTCAAAGAGTGGGAATTCTGTTTTTGGTACTGTAATTTTGGTGGTGGGTGATCAAATTTCACAAAAGTCACTGTTTACGATCTTTCATATCGATGTTCTCTCCATGTGCTTTTAGTCGAGCAGTCAGCAGTACTTGTGAAGTGTAATGAACTGTAATTGCATTGGTTTCCCCAATTTCAGAGTGGACTGCTGTGTGGGCAGTGTGACCCCTGCTCTATGGTCTGTTTCTGTCCCTGCTTCATGCTGTCTCAAGAGCCAGAGTGCTGCCCTCTTTGCCCCTTGGCCTGATAGAAACCGGGGTCCAGGCTGCCCTCTGTTCACTGGATTGAGCAGCTATACTGAGCTCACTCTTCTGTCATAAAAAGGTGCGTTGAAATTGCAGTAATTTCAAAGTCCAAAGCCACTTTTATGTTGATGTAGGTCTTGTGTGTATGTACGCATGCTCACTTTCAGAAGTTCTCCCAAGTTTTCTCCTGTGATTTAACAGTGTAAATCCTGAAGGTGATTGACAGATGTTGGTATTCCCTACAACCTGGTATGCAATGGCATTGATATAAAGGGGGTTTCTGCCCTGTCAAGGGCTGAATGTTCACTTGCATCCATGATGTCGTAGGGCAGGGAATTAAAATCCTTGTCTTCTGGGTGTTGGTGATGTTCAGGAGAGGTCCGAGATGAAGATTTATTGTTTGGATGAAGCTTTAATGTGTTATTTAGAGATATAAGAATATATTAATATAAAGCTGATGTGTGCTATTTTTATGAGGCCTTTTTTTTTTATAAATAACAAATTCCTATATATTAACTGTGCTGCAAAATATGAATACCTTTTATATATCTTAGGAAGGTTGACTTGTGTGGCCAGTGAAGAGAGGTATACAACACCAATTTTCAATGTACAATTGAGACAGTGCTCCGAATAAGTAAAATGGCAATTGTGATTTTAGCTAAATAGAGGATAATAGTTATACAGAGCTCAGGGGATAAAAGGCATAGTTTTATTTTGTTATAAATAACTTAGGCACGATGGTTTGTATTGCACACATTTCGCATGGTGGCTGGTTTAAGTATGCTGGGTTATTGGAAGGCATGTGGCCCTATCCCAAAATGCTCACTTATTTGTTACTGGAATGTAAAGGGTAACTTTGTGTTAGATTGGAAATTGAAAGTTATTTTTAGAATACACAAGTTATGTTCTCCAAACTCAGTAAAGGACAGATTGCTATTCTGTGGTTTCCCTGTTCATTGATTTGAAGAATGGTCCAGATACTTGCAGCAATGTCTGTTCCCAAAGTCAACTCTGTCAGGCTGGGTCAGAGATTGGGTTTTAGGGGTCACAGGTTGACTGGTTTAAGACCAAGGGACATGAACCTTGAACTGCTGTGCTACTTTCATTTCCAGCCGCCCCATCACTTGGCTGCTAACTTCCATTGTTACAGAGTGCTTTGCCTGCAATCGATTCTGAATCATTATGAAGCTCAATATTATTCCTGTCTGTGGCACCCATCCAGAGTCATTTTAATCTTTTGGTATTGTTTGTCTACGGAACTGCTTGGGACCAACTCAATATTCAGTGTGAGGCAAAGTGTTACTTTGTGCTCCTCATCACACTCGGATTTAAATGAAAAATTGCTACGCTGTTAGTGCACAATTCCATTCACCATTGTAAGCATGGCCAGCAGTGGAGTAACCTATCTGTGAATGTTTCCATATTCTGGTTATCTGCTTCCAGCTCTGTCCTGTACAATATAAATAAATATACTCTCATTGTAATATAAAGCTTGAGGGGAAATGGAAAATAAAGATTTTATTAAAGTTTTACTTTGTATACTGAAAGGAGCTATGTTTTATTTGAAGTCTGTTTCTTGACTCATTCCATGTGTAGATACTTCCCCATTTCTGAAATAGTTTTTTCTATTAATTTGACGAGGGTAGCTTTTGATGTCCATCCCTAGTTGCCCCTAGAATTGAATGGTTTGCTGAGCACATTGTACTGTCCTGTGAAAGAGTAGACATGGTGGTTGTGGTAATGGAGCTACATGTGGTAAGGACAGCAGATTTCCTTTCATAAAGGACCCTAGTGAAGCAGCTGGGTTTTTACCACAATCACTGAGGTTAGCATTCAATTCCAAACTCTCTCGTAACTAACTGAAGTGAAATTCTCCCGGTTGGCATCATGTGATTTGAACATGTATCCCTAGAGCATTAACCTGTTCCTCTGGTATACTAGCTCAGTGACATTACCCACGTGCTAGAATCTCGCCCTCCCTGGATCTGTTGGAGTCCTCGGGGTTTAGGTAGACCTGCAATGCTGTTAGAGAAGGAGTTCAAACCTTTTGACGCAGAGACAATGAAGGAATGGCCAAATCAGGATGGTAAGTGACTTGGAGGGGAACTTGCAGGTGGTAGTGTTCCCATGTATCTGCTGCCCTTATCCTTCTAGGTGAAAATGGATGTGGGTTTGGAAAGTGCTTCTAGATGGTGGATGCAACTGAGAATCGGTGGTGGAGGGAGTAGATATTTGTGGATTTGGTGCCAATCAAGTGGGCTGCTTGTCCTGAATGGCATTGAGCTTTTGAATGTTATTGAAGCTGTACTCATCCAGGCAAGTGGGGAGTATTCCATTACACTTCTAACTTGAGCCTTGTAGATGGTGGACAGATTTGAGGAGTCAGGAGGTGAGTTACTCACTGCAGGATTCCGAGCCTCTGCCCTGCTGTTGTAGCCGCAGAATTTATATGGCTAGTCAAGTTCAGTTTCTGGTCAAAGTGGCCCCGAGGATGTTAACAATGGGGTATTTCGCAATGGTAATAACATTAAATGTGATGGGACAGTGGTTAAATCTTCTTTTGTCGGAAACAGTCATTGCCTGGCATTGTGTGCCATGAATATTACTTCGCACTTGTAAACCTAAGCCCAGATACTGTCCAGGTCTTGTTGAATTTGAACACGGACTGCTTCTGTATCTGAAGAAGCTGGAATGCACTGACTGGGAAGGTAGTGGAGATCGGCAGCCTTACAACCTTTAAAAAATACTTGGATGAGCATATCCCATATCCTTGAATATTATGATATTTGAAAAGTGCAGGAAATTGGGATTAGCATGCCTTTAGTGGTAGTTATGTCTGTGCAAACATGATGGGCCGAAAGGCCTTTTCTGCACTGCATGAATCCATCTACGAATAGTGCTGAACGTTATGCAGTCATCAGTGACCATTCCCACTTCTGACCTTATGATGGAGGGAGGGTCATTGATGGAGCAGCTGAATATGGTTAGACTCCAGACCCTGGATATTTTCTAACCAACTTGTTTAGAGATGTTATTGCGCACCTTTGGAGAAGGTGGGAATTGAACCTAGTTCTCCTGGCTTAGAGGTAGGGATATTACAACTGCAGAAGAGATGAGAAACTGCTGCAGAAATGCCCTGGAGCTGAGATGACCAACCTCCAACCATCACAACCATCTCCTTTTGTGCCAAGTATTGACTGACCAGTGGAAAGTTTTCCCGATTGCCACTGACTCCAGTTTTGCCCAGATTCCTAGATACTAGTCGGTCAAATGCAGCCTTGATGTCATCCTTAACTTATCTCTGTGGATTTTCCATGTATGCTGTAGCTGGCCTGTTCTTTGAGATGACTGCCAAAGTGCTGTTGTGAACTGTGATTGGTACAGGCTAATTCTTGTTGTTGCTGTTAGGTAGGGGTATGGGCATGGGAGTATTGTGTCCTGGTTAATGATGCTTACCTTTCCTTTCAATTAGGTTATGTCAAGGTCAGCTGGGAAAGCTGTGGTGTAGTGTCATTAGATTAGCAATTCAGTGGCCTTAATGTTCTGAGGACATGAATTTGACTGTGGCAGTTGGTGAAATGTTAATTCAGTTAAAAGAAAATCTGGAATGCTAGCCCAGTAGCAAACACTGATTAGCAAAAAACAATCTTAGTTCCTTAATGTAATTAAGGAAATCTACCACTCTTACCTGGTCTGGCCTACACATGACTCCAGATCCAAAGCAATGTGGTTGAATCTTGACTGCCCTCTGAAATAGCCTAGCAAGCCTCCCAGTTCAAGGGCAATAAGGATGGGCAATAAAAAAATGAAACTAGCAGGCATTGTTTGTGGTTGGGATTTCATAATTCCAAATCTAACATCTATTTATGATAAATCTTTGTGTATTTTCCAGTCTCCTACTTAACGAGTCAAAATTATTCCAAGAAATTTTAGCAATTGAAAAAATTGTTTATAAGTCAACTTTTTGCTGAAACATCCAACTTCCCAGAGATGTCCTGCCCTTTCGTCCAGGAACCACAGCTTTTTGTTTTCCATTTGTACATGGGATCTGCGATTGCTGGTTAGATCAGTGTTTCCTGCCTTTCACTGATTGTCCAGGAAGGCGATGGTCAGCTGCCATATAAACAAATAATGTCTCTACTCACTCACTAGTGGTTAATCTCTAGTGTTTGAACCTATGTTTGAACTTGGCCTGAAACTGATGGGGCTTTGCTTTGGCAGAAGAATGCTGAAAACCTTTGTCATTAAAAACAGAATTAACCAATTAGCATTAATTCCAAAGGAAATCATCTTCAATATGTTTGGTCTACCTATGTGTGTTGTGTGTTTATTTATATAGAGAGAAAGAAAACAGCCTAATTTAGAAATAAGATTTGAAAAGCTAGGCCTTTCCATTTACTGTATAAGTTACAACTTATTAAGTTTCTGGAAAATTTAGCTTTGAACATTTCAACAGAATGCTAAATTGATGAATAGCTGGAGAAACAAGCCACGTGATTTAATCACACAGTTGCTGGGGCCTGTGACCTACATACCTGGCATCATACTGACACTGAAATTGCTCCCACTCATAGCATGTTAGGATCTGTACTGCATTAACACACCAACAGGGAACAGCATAGCGGCATCGATGAATGATTGTGTCAGTGAAATGGCCTCTGCATTTCTCAAGCAGGTGCCTTGAATTTCAAATGTTTGACTTTTATTAATTTCAGGAGTATGTATATTGTTGGCTAGTCCACCATTTCTTGCCATTCCCAACTTCCCTTGAGAGGTTGTTGGTGAGCTATCATCTTGTACCTCTGCAGTTCACGTTTTTTTTATTCATTCACGGGGTAAGGGCATCTCTGGCTAGGCAGCATTTATTGCCCATCCCTAATTGCCCAGAGGGCGGTTAAGAATCAACCACTTTGCTGTGGGTCTGGAGTCACATGTAGGCCAGACCAGATAAGGATGGCAGATTCCTTCCCTAAAGGACATTAGTGAACCAACTGGGTTTTTCTGACAATCGACAATGGATTCATGGTCATCATTAATTCCAGATATTTATTGAATTCAAATTCCACGCTAGAATGTTATCTGGGTCTCTGGATTAACAGTCCAGCAATAATACTACTAGGACATTACCTCCCCAAATAATGTAGAAACATTCACAATGCTATTTGGGGTGGCACAGTGGCTCAGTGGTTAGCACTGCTGCCTCACAGCACCAGGAACACTGGGTTCCATTCCACCCTCAGGCGTCTGTGTGGAGTTCCTCCGGGTGCTCCAGTTTCCTCCCACAGTCCAAAGACGTGCAGGCTAGATGGATTGGCCATGCTAAATTGTCCACAGTGTCCAGGGATGTTTGGGTTAGACATGGGGAAATACATGGGTAGGGGAAACGAGTCAGGGCAGGATGCTCTTCGGAGGGGCAGTGTGGACCTGTTGAGCCGAATGACCTGTTTCCACACTGTAGGGATTCTGTGATTCTAAGAGATTTCACAAATTCACAGAATTGTTACAGTGTGGAAGGTATTGGCATCCATTGTGTCTGCACTGACTCTCCAAATGAATTCTTGCATTTTGACCTGATGATGGTGATGGAACAATGCAAGGCAGGATCGTGTGTAACTTGAAAGGAAACTTGCAGAGTTCCTATTCATCTGGAACTGTTCCAATGCATTCTATTCCTTGCATTTTGATTGGGGGTGGCTGCAGAAAGCTGGGTTCTCACTGTATTTTGTTCCTTCGTTAAAAGTCAGTTTAACTGTGGATTCTAAACAGCTTAACAGTGATACACTTCTCAGCAGTTTATCCCACCCCTCCAAATGGTCTTGTCAGGTTGCATAAAGCCTAGGAGTAAGTAATCACCTTTTCTATGTCCGGGGTACAAGATGTGATACAGAAGAACCTAAAAGTAAGAGACAACTAAAGGTTTATCTCAAAGGGCCAAAGCGATTTAAGATTCAAGGTCATCTGGAATAATGCAAGTATTCTTCTTGGAGAATGAACAGGCTTTTAGTTGCCGATATTTTAATAGTTGATCTTTACAAGTCCATGCAAGTACAAGCCGTGTCTGTGCCATCACTTTCTTATTAAATTTGCTAGGTGTTTTTTTTTACAAAATTACCGTGTGCATTCTTATCATCTGCAGATTCCTGCTGCTTATAAACAACATGAACAATTACAATAATAGACAAGTACAGTGAAGCCTGTAAAGGCCACAGGTATAAAATGATTTAACAGCACGAATATAAAAATGACCATTCCCTTTAAGAGACAGAATCCAATTTTTCAAACCTACCATAATCACAGTTTGAAATCCTTCAAAGGCTGTCAATAGACACTAACTACACAGTGGGACATGTTCAGTTCCTTTTCAGGATTTGAAGCACATTTTGAGTCATTTGATTATAATTTTAAGGTAGTTGTTTGTACTGATCTAGTGCCATTGGGGAAAGCTGGCAGTGTGATCATGGGATTATATCCTGTTGCTAGGAGGCAAAGACTAGATACAATGAAGTATCGAGTGCAGAGTTTACTGAAGAACAGCCTTGCCATCACC